ATCTTTGGAATTAGATTGAGCCAACGCTTTGCATATGTACGGTTTGTCAATTAGTATCTCGACTGCATCTAGGTTAGCATATTAAGATTCTTTGCTTTTGGCTGATGCATAACTTACTGTTGGGTTTTTGTAGATCGTCATTTGGGTTGGGGATTTTGAGATTTTCTCTTCTCGAAGCAAATAATCATATTGCTCGACATGTTGATCCTAGTTCATACATATCTCAGAAGTTTGCCCCTAAGAATTTCTTTTTGTACTCCACATGCAGGCCATTTAGGGCAAGCCTAACAAACTCGACTTCAGGGAGGGATACTCGACACTAGTTTCTTGCCGACTTAAACCTCATAAGATATTCCATTGGTGACTTGTCGGATGATTGAGCCATCCTGGCCAAAGAAGATACTGACATTTCATTCCTTGGCCGATAGAATTGCTCATGAAATTTCTCGATTAGTTCCTCCCAACTTTGGATGAAGTTGGGTAGGAGGTTGATGTACCATGCGAACGCTGAGTTGGTAAATGAGAAATTGAATAGTCGTAGTTTATGAAAATCACTGTTAACATCTCCACATTGAGCAGTGAATCGAGCCACGTGTTCTAATGAGGACAAAGATGATTCTCCAGTGAAAAGGCTAAAGTCTGGAATCTTGAATCCCTTAGGATACTCGAACACCTCTAAAAAGCTGGATATGGGTGAATGAATTTTGGAAACTTCGACCCTTTTTTAAGGCCAAATCAATCATTCTTTAGACTTCGACCATGTTAACAGGCGCTGCTTTTACTCCATGGTTAGTTCTGATCGATCTGCTGCTTGATTCACCATTTTTTCTCTAAGTCAATCATTTTGAGCTGAGCAGATATTTTCTCGGCCTGTATCACTGGTAGAGGATTATTCTTTAGAATAGGAGGCTGCCTGGGTCGATCGGCAGGTCCAATGTTGAGGACTTTATTAACTAGAACTTCGAGCAATCTGTTGTGCACATCGCTATTATCACGCATCTCTTCAAGTATGCTTTTTACCTCTCGGCTGAACATTTGCTTAAATTGTCGGGATTGTTCTTAAAATCATCACCGGAGAAAAGATCTAGATGGTGGATCGGAGGCCTCATCATCATAATCCTCCACTAATCCTTCAATAAAAATGCCTTTTGTCATTTTGGTGGGGATTTCTGCATCACGAGTCTGACCCCCGACATTAATTTCCTTTTCTCGGCGTGTTGTACTTGTGGCTTCAGATGTCACGACAATAAAAGGATTTTGTGCCTGTGACAAGCCATCGTGTCCTAGGCTTTGGACTGTAGGTGGAAGATTAGTTGTTGACTTACCCATGATTGTTTTCTTTTTTATTGACCGTGTTTCAATGGTCATGAACTTTGTAGTTTTAGCACTGGGTCCCACTGAGCGTGCCAAAATGTTAACCCTAAAAACTACCAAGCCTAAGTGGCGTTTATGTCGAGTAATTAATAAGCTAACTACATTCTTCAATTGTGTGCGGGGCGTGCCAACTCGTTGGTCGAGCTCGGTCGGGGAGTAAAATATGTTGATGTGGCGTTAGGTGCGCTGCTGACTTCTTGATCTTGCAACTGTGGCTGAGGAAGGAACACGTCTCGGCCTTTAGGTTTTAGAGCCTGAAGACAAGGCTACTAGTTTCTTCGAAGTTCACAAATCGTTGGCGTCGAGTTCAGTCCCGGTAATTATATTCGTGAGAGTATAAGTACTCTTAACTGGCACCAAACTGTACGAACACAAATACTTGAAAAAGATAAATATCTTGATGGTAAATGTGGTTCGGCCGTTGGAGTGCCGAACTCTATAATGTACTTGTGAATATCCAATCATAAAATAAAACTTGGCTTTCAATGTGCCGAGCTTAGTAACCTGGTAACACCTCACTTCGCCGAGAAGGCAGATAAGATGACCTCTACCAACAAATATTCGGAAATCCTTGTTGACCAAGACCTGGTTAAATAATCAGTCGGTCTCAAAGTAGTCCTGTTTATCCAAACTGAAGGTGCTCATCGGCAGACTGATTTTGTGGTTCTAGTGTTGTTTATCCAAACTGAAGATGTTACCGATTGCCTTCATAGTGTTGTTTATCCAAACTGAAAATGTATTGGCGGGAAGTAAAGGGAAAAGGAAAAAAATCTCAAGGTTGTTAAGAAGCTTTGCGCATGGCAATTTGTGTGTTGAATGATGCACTCCCTTCTCTATTTATAGCAGTGAACCCCTCTCATGGCAAACTAGAGATGTACTCGGATTAGAACTTCTCAACCCAATTTGATTAGGTTTTGGCCAATCCTAACCCTATAGGACTTTAAACCAAGCTTCTTAACGAACCAAATTCATCCCCTAATTGTAAGCATCTTCAGCTTTAAGACTCCTTGTTGCACTAGGGTTCGACTACCTCATTCTTATCTAAACCAATCCTCCTCGCAACAAGATTCAGCTGACCTTGACTGGACATCCCATGACAAGATTCTAGATGAATGTTACTGGGGCGAGAACAACTCTAAGTTCGCCCTGAAATATTATTTTGGGCCCAAACAACAGTAGAAGTATTTTTTTTTTAAATGCACAATAATCTCAAACTGGTCCTTAGAGCAATCTGGTGGGTATACTTTTGAAGTATAATTGAAAATGAGTATTTTGATGATGCAAGAAAGAGAAATGATAAGCACACGCCACCCTTGACATTTGTTTTCATTTGATTTATTTAATTTGATGGTTAGAAATAACAAAGAGTATGCAATAAGCTACAAAAGTGTGAAAACCTCCCTTCAAGAAAAAAAAATGTGAGGTTATTTTGGCTATGAAATTTTCCATTTCCATTCCTCCTCGCCCAATCCAATTTTCTCCCTTCGGAATTCGATTCCTTGAATATCAAGAATCACATTCTTGATTTCAAGTGGAACCCGCTTCACTTTTCATTCTCCTTAGATAAGGTTCATCTAGAATGTGAATGACTGATTCTCCACAATCCCATTCACCACATTCCGTATTTAATTGAATTTATTATATAACCTATAAATGAGTGTCGACTTATATTTTAAAAAATGCATAATTGCAATGGGAAACATAAATTGTAAAATAAAATAGGGTAAATCTCAGTTTACTACTCTCAACTTTTGTGGTTTTCAACATTTGGTACATGAAGTTTTTTTCGTCCCAGAGTCATACCTAAAGTGTTAATTTTGGATAGTCTCATACATCGGTTAGTCTGACTGTTAATTCTTCCGTTAACTGATAATGTGGCGTCTATGTGGACAATGATTGGGCACCACGTGTCATTAAGGGTCCATGTGAAGATTAAAAAAAACTAAAAAAATTAAAAAACTTAAAAAAATTAATAAATTAAAAAACACATTAAAAATAAGAAAAAAAATAGAAAAAGGTGGGGATAATTGTTTCTTCTTCCTCGTCCCTTCTCTTCTGCAATTAGTTTTTCTGCGGATTTGGTTGGGATATAGGGCTGGTGAGTTTGGCGTCCCTTTTTTCTCTCCGCTGCCATCTTTCTTTCTCTTCTTTCCCTTAAATCTCAGATCCCCAACAACCCTTGCCCTTGTGACCTCCTAACCCTTAGCAGAGGTTTCCGGACCTCATAATCGTTGCCCTTCGTCTCACTGCCACTATCAATGGGTGGGTAGAGATCGATTCGGCCATCATGACCTCGTAACCCTCACCAGGACCCGCACCTGTGGCTTTAATGATGGCTTATTTGGTGTGTTCGAGCAGCCAACGGACAGTTTGTCTGTCGGACTTGTGGCCGAGTTCCTGCATCAGCTGGAAGATCCTGGCAGCGCAGGTAGTGGGTATTCAGATCTGTAGGTTGCGGCCCTCAACTTTCGTATGACTGTCCTTGGTAGAGGATCGTCGGGTTGGGCCAAAGACGAATACTTGTACAGACATGGGCATTTGCATCGTGAACGGGAGCATTTCGATGGGGTGAGCCTGCGGCTGTTGTTGTGGGTCAGAGTCATAGGCTTCTCCTTCAGTGAATGGAACTCCATCGTTTCCTCGAAGTTGGGTTGCATCGAAAAGACACCGTCTCCGTTGGTATGATCATTGTCTCCTGGGTCTTCGGTGCTAGTGTTGAGATCAAATGCACCTTCGTCGTTGTCTTGATCCTACTAATACGACGTCATTCTTGCAAACTAAAACAAAAGAAACGGAAAATATTTGTATCAAAGGAAACTTTGAGAGAGAATTGGAATGTTTGGTTGCCGAGAAACTGCGGGAAAATGATAAAGGGTTTTGATCAGTTTCTTTTTTTAAGTTTTTTAATTTTTTACACGTGGATCCCTAATGATATGTGGTGTCCAGTCATTGTCCACATGGATGCTGCGTCATCAGTTAATGGAAGACTTAACAGTTAGATTAACGGATGTATGAGACTGTCCCAAAATTAACACTTTAGGTATGACTTTGGGACGAAAAAAACTTTATGTACCACATGTTGAAAATCACAAAACTTGAGGGTAGTAAACTGATATTTACCCAATAAAATAATATATAAGTTATAAGGTACTAAAGCATATTGAAAACATGTAGAGCAAAAATATACTTAGTGTTCATCCAAGTATCTTATAAGTTTCTTACAATTTATTGAAACATAAAATGCTAAGTTATCTATTTTCTATCTAAGTAAGAGTTGTGATCATATTCTTAAATAAATAGAAACTAAGAAAAAAAAAATATCACAAAATCATCCAGCCCGCCTAGACTTACCTACACCCATCTAGCCCGCTTATGTCTACTTAAACAGGCTAATGGAGGCTTAAGCAAATCTAAATGGTATTTATTTTGAATAAACGATATTATTTACCGTAAGGAGTGAAAAGTAGGCTACTTTTTGCAAATTTTTATTTTTCATATTTTTTATTATTTAATTTTAGATTAAACTAACATGTTAAAATTGAAGTTTAAGTTGAAGGAGACATGCCAAAAAATTAGAAAAAAGACATAAAAGAGACATAGAGTCGGGACATCAAGCCCACGGCCCACTCACTTTCTTGCCTTCAGTCCTCTCCACCTACCCCTGGACTGCGCAGCCAGGTAACCTAGCCATCATCGTCTTCTTTGAGAGAGAGAGCGCGATGGCGGAGGAGGCAATTCTAGGATACCTGGAGTCAAAGGATGAAATATCAGATTCCGGTCAGTTTGCAACTGAACGTGGACTCGATCACAACGAGGTTGTCAACGTTATCAAGAGCCTCCATGGTTTCAGATACGTTGTTGCAGAGGTTCTCTCAATTTTGCCCCTTTTTTTCATTCTTTATCATTATCTGCCATTCAGTAGACGTTACCAGTTACTTCTACCTTGAATATGTTTTGCCCAAAACTGTAAAGTAAATAGTTGCTTCAGTGCACATAATTATATCTAAAAATTACCAAATCTCATTAGGGGTAGTTCATTCGCCTGCGAAAGGAATTTCCTTTTTGGTTGTTTGTTCTGAATTTTGGGTTAAATTCCTGCATTTTTACTCGAAATATAGCCACGAATTCCTGCTGTTTTACTGTTGAATACTTTTCGTTAATCTGCAGGACATCAAAAGAGAGATGTGGATACTTACTGACGAAGGAAATGCATACACTGTTACCGGGTCACCAGAAGTGCAGCTGTTCCTGGCCATACCACCTGAGGGTATCCCCAAAGAAGAGTTGCAGGTGATTCTTATTGATCTCGCCTTTATTTGGAAATTCTGATGTGATGTATTATCCATTAGTTTTATTCAATTGTTTGTTTGTGATAGATACTTGTTGTATGATTTCCCGTCGCGTTGATAGTTGAAACTGATGTTTTATTCAGAAAAAGCTGGACCCATCAGTTTTCAAAATAGGTAGCGCTCAGGCTGCAAAGAGAAAATGGGTGGAGATGGGCAAGCAACTAGTAACCCGAAAGGTAACACCTTGTTAATGAGATCACTATGCATAATAATGTCTGTTTGAAATATTATATTTTACGTAGAGGCTATGAGCTTCCTGGAATTGAATCTAATTCAGTTCATCCAGTACAATGTTCTATTCGAAATAAGTAGGCTCTTCTGTTGATTTACTTTGGCGTCACAGTTGATGAAGCCAAGGATACTGTAATTGTGTTACAATTTTCTCTCTTGTACATTTCTTGTTTGCAGTTGTGCATACATTTTAAATTCCTCCTGGTTTGTGAGCCTGAAACTTGTGGTTATTTGATTTTAAGTTTGATGCGGGGCAGGGTTTTTAAGTGATGTTATATGAAAAAATTCACATTGGCCACATAATTATCTTGTAAAACTTGTTACAAATCCTGGTCTATCGTTTATTTAAGCAAGGATCAGAAGTCTCTTGAATCAGAAGTCCTTCATGTTGGCCCATGGGATCCAGATGGGGATGGTCAATGGGTGCTCCATATATCACCTTCACAAGCACAAACATCACCACTCACCACCACAGTTAACACATATCTACACTTACATGGACCTCCATTTAACCAAATGGGTATCCACTGACCACCATAGATCCAGACAAATAACTTGTTATTATGAAAAGAAAAAATAAAAAAAATCTCAGATACACCAAAATCTTTTTATTTTTATTTTATTTTTTGTAGAGTTTATGACTTTTTTTAATGTGTTTTAGTTCTTCCCTTCATTACTCATTACTTATCGCATCTGAATGTTTGAATCTTTTCAAGATTTTTTTTTTTGTCAGATGGACTCTGATTTTATTGTCTGTTTAATTATACAGTTCATTGGTGTTTTAAACATTCATTTTGCACCTTTTATCTTTGTGTATGCATTGTTTATAGATTTTCATAAGCTTCATCCTATTGTGTGTGTCTTTATCCCTTTCTTTTTAATGATTCTGGCTGTATTGGGATGTGCAAATGGCGTCCAAATGTCTGATGCTACTGTAGCCATGTTTTGCCTCAGTTATGTGTGCATGATGCCTGTTTCTTAAATACATACTCATCATAATTATCTTCTTGTACGTCCTGCAGATCCAACATGTGGAGGACGAAGTTAAAAATTTGCTTCTACAGATACAAGATGGGCAGGTGGATATTTTTTTTCAGCACCAATAATCTGACATTGCATGCTAACTAGATACATTACACACATGCACATAGTAGAATGTTTGGGGTTATACGTTCAGCTTCAGGCTTTAGTGATGTGTACATAGGTTTGGGTGTCTGTATTCACCTTTTATGTTGGGCTGGGGCCTGACCAAAACATGAGGAGGTGGGGGTAACAGGTTTAGCATACTAGAAAACCGCTGTCTTGTGAAATATTCAAGTGGCTGTGGGACCTGTTCAGTACTTTAAATGAGCTGGGGGTACTGTGTATATACATTATCATGCATGAAATAAAATGAGATGGATTGTATTTTTATTTTTCAACACTGTATTCCCTCATATCTGATGCACACTTCCTATCCTTAGGTACATCGTATCCTTTCTTCTTTAATGTTCACTGGCAACTCATTTGGACTTTCTTTTCGTTATATGTGATTACAGGCCATCAACCAAGATGAAATTAAAGCTCTCAAAGCAAGAAAACTTATTGTTCCACAGTAAGCATCATATATTTTTTCTACCCTTTACTTTTATAGTTCCCTTGTTCTCTTTTGAGGCCGAGGGGGTATCAATAACAGTTCTTTGACTGCAGAAGATAAGTTTTTTCATTGTTTTCATTTTTATGTTCTCTTGCGCTATAGAACGTGGAAGGGCTACTTGGTTAAAAAGGGCCCCAATTATGCTCCAAAGAGAAAGAAAGTAGCTACAGATTTGACTCGAGAGAATCTTCAAAGGTACATATGTGCTTGCAAATAGCTATGAATATAGAGATCTTGATCAGCAGAATTTCTGGCAACAATAGTGCTAAAGTTCTGTGAAGCATAGTTAACTTGGAATCACCAAATTAGAAACATATCTCAGAAGCATCCTTGTCAAATAAAGGGGCATGTCCTCTTGTATCCCAGGCATATTCAAACTAGAATTTTGTTTTTTCAATGGTATCTGAAATGCATCTACATGTTATGTTTTGGTATGTGGGGCTTTGGAGTATTTGAGGTTAATAGTTTAAAAACTAGTGCTATGCTCTATCTTTCCCTCTGAGACATAATGGCATGCCCTTCTATAGGCTATCATGTGAAAAAAAAAAAATAAAAATAAAAAACTGATGTGTTAGCCGATGGAATTTAGATCATGTTCATATATCAATAGTATTACTTGCAAAGGAGCATTATGTGTAACTAGTTTTACAAGTTACATGCGCTTGGTAGAATGTCCCACATAATATCCCTTTTCTTAATCACAAGTTTGATTTGTCAGTTCATAACTAACAAACTTATGAGAACTGTTTCTAACGACTGTTTTTTCTCTGGTCAGATTAAATTTCTGGCTTTTATTGTTAATTATATTATGATTGTGGGCCTTTGGTTGCTCAGCATTTCAGTTATATTGCTTTAGCTGAATGAGCAATCTTTTGTATTTGCTATATAGTGCATTTTATTTATTTTTATTTATTTTAGTTTACTTTATTTTGAGGAGGAGACAATTATGTTCAAAACTAAGACAAGATGCAAGAAGACCAACCTGAGCAAACAAAACACAACAGCTCAGAAAAAAAACAAGAGTCAGCTCCATAGAGCTGATTAAGAAACAAGGCAAACTACAAAATAGCTGTTTTCCAATCTAGCGAAAATAAGGAGAGCGAAATTTCTCTAAACTCTGAGGAAACAGATACCCACAGCAGACAAAACTGAATTCTTTCCTGAAGATTTTCAATTCCAGTGCCTTCTTCTAAGATCCTTCTCTCTCTCTCTCTCTCTCTCTCTCTCTCTCTTCTCTCTCTCAATTCAGAGCCTTCAAATCCAGTACATGTTTTAATTAATAATTTAATACCATTGCTATTTCAATTAGCATTTGTTAACTGTTGTACACTCCCCTTTTTATATGGCCCTGGATATTATACTGACTATACATGAATAACCTTTCTTTTATGTTTTTTTCTTTTCTTTTTGGATTATGTGATGCACTCATCAATGAATGCTGTTATATGCAGTTTATTTTGCTGATAGATTTAAATAATTATTTCTGTAATTAGGGGTGATTGGAAGGAACTAGAGTTCAAAGAGTATAACTTCAGCGCTAAAGGTCTGCCTATTGAAAGTGGTCATCTTCATCCACTGCTCAAGGCAAGGACATATTTCTACTGTATCTTTTTAATAGAAGTGGCTCTTTTGAGTAATATAAAACTGGTATAATGTGTAATTCTCAGAAGCGAATTTCTTGGGTTACGAGGTTCTAAAAAAATGTGAAAACAGAAATTTTGAGATAAAAACACATCCTTTGACTTGGTAGTTTAGAGCAGATAACATTAGCAACCATTTTTCTAGATTTGTATCCTCTAAAGAGAAACACTAGTCAAGACAATAACATCTTACAGTAGTTTACTGCAAGCTGGGTATATTAGTAGTGTCAGTGATGCAAGTGGATATGCTATTTTTTTTGTTTTAGCAGACCTTCAAATGATACCGCCAAAGTCTGCAGGTGCTCAATTTGAGCTGGTGCCATACACCATAGAAATATCTTTCTAAGAGGAGGATTAGGTTACAAAATGTCATTATGTGCTACGGTATAAGTAAAACTTTTAGTTTGAAGCAGTTTTGTATAAAATAGCTGTTAGCATTGCTAACTGAATTTCGCAACTTTCAGGTACGACATCAGTTGAAGGGTATTTTCAGGCAAATGGGGTAAGACCTGTTTCTTGTCTAATATTTGCTGATAATCTGTTCTCTCACATATACATGTACACGTCTCTATGTACAAGACTATCTTTATGTATGGGGTTTCGTACTTACTGCAGGTTTGAGGAGATGCCTACAAACAATTATGTTGAGAGCAGGTAGCCTCTCTTCTTACTTTTACCAACTTGTCTTACTTTTAATAGTTCCAATGTCAATTGTAGGTTATGATAGGGCTACTACTTCTAGCCCATTCTAGTCGATCACAAGTAACCATATTGCTAAAGGGTAATGCTAGGGAGACCAAATTTCTAAACCAAAATTTGTAAACCAAATGAAGTGGATGTTAATAATTGGATTATTACTTAAGTGTTAATTAACGTGCTTATCATCATTTGGTTTGCAAATTATTTGGTTCCTCACTGGTATTTCTGTTATCTAGCTGGAGTGACAATGAATTTTAGTGATATTTCCAGGTTATCTTGAACTATTGGTTTCAAAAACCTCCTATAAAGTAGATATTTGAGTGAATGTTTTTTACTATATGGAAAGCACTTTGAGTGATAACTTTAACGTGAAAACTCTTTCTCTCTCTCTCTCTTTTTATCGGAAGAGTTTCTTTTTGAAATTCTTCCATTTGTACTCTTTCTGTGGGATTTTAGTGTTTTACAGCTCATTATTTATGATGACTAATGGTAAAATACTGAAAAACGTTTGTTTCTGCATTACTTGCAGCTTCTGGAACTTTGATGCGCTTTTCCAGCCACAGCAACACCCTGCCCGTGATTCGCATGATACATTTTTCCTACAAGGTCTCTTTGACGTTTTTGCATTATCCTGAATGCTTGTGTATCTTTCTTCCAACTGATAATTTGCTGGCTTTTTCGCTTTTAGTTCCTTCAACCACCAAGCAACTGCCTGAAGATTACGTTGAGCGGGTGAAGCAGATTCATGAGTCTGGTGGTTATCAATCCCGAGGGTATGACATTTTAACTTCCTTAATGTTCCTACAATATTTCGATATAACTACATGTTTCTGTTCTCTCTTTTTGGCAGATATGGATATGATTGGAAAAGAGAGGAAGCAGACAAAAATCTTTTGCGAACTCACACAACCGCTGTTTCCTCCAGGATGCTGTACGCACTAGCCCAGGTGTGTTTGTTTTTTTAATTAACTGTCTACATGCTCTTCGTGTCTTTCAATCGATAACTCATTATTTCTGTTTTATGTTAGCTTCAAATTCTAATCTTTGAAACTTCTTCTTTACTTTATTTCCCCCTTCTTCCGCCTTTCCTTTTTAATGGCACAACCTGTAACCTTTGCATTCAATTTATGCTGAGTTGGCGTGAAGTTTAATCTGCTTACAATGCCTTTTTGGTCTTGGTATTTTTCTTGCACCATGATTCTTTTAATGTAAACCAAAATTTTTCAGCTTCAATTAATATCACATTTTGCTTGCTAACTAGTAAGTACTCATATTAATACACATTTAAAAATTGAAATTTTGTCATAGTCAAGGTATAATATTACCATACATACAGCTCTGAAAGGTTTTCGAAGAATTTTCTTCAGTTTTTCCCAAAAGGTGTTTCTAACTATTTGTTAAGTAATTGTTTGGCATATGTTCTGTCTACCTATGGAGTTGTAGGTCTTTAATGTAGGCTTCACCTTTAGTTTTTTGGTTTTGCATGTGCCTGCATAAGCTGACACAATCACACACAAGCAGCCTGGAGTTGTAATTGTTTTTCTTCTTTTGCATTGCTCACAGAAACCATTTGTGCCCAAAAAGTACTACTCTATAGATCGTGTGTTCAGAAATGAAGCAGTAGATCGAACACATCTTGCAGAGTTCCACCAGATAGAAGGTAGCATTCAGTTTATTTATTATATCAAGGCTAGCGGATGTTCTTTAACACCCTACCTATGAGAGTGAAAGGAGTAACATTCAGTATAACTTGGAGTTTTGTAAATCCATCGTGCACTGGTGGTGTTGGGCTATCAATGTAATTGAAACTAGGTGAAGTTGGTATGTGTTAATCAATCGCCTCTCTGAATTTCTACTTCTGGTTTTAGGTTTGGTATGTGATCGAGGCCTTGCTCTTGGTGACTTGTTAGGAGTACTCAAAGAATTCTTCTCACGTCTGGGTAAGATATTGGCTGGCAGTTTGCTGCTGTCTTGGTTTTTGTGATTGCGATTTTGGAGATTGGGTATTACTATTACTATTACTATAATGGAACTTGTTTCTTTCTATTCTTATACTCTTAGGCATGTCGAAACTGCGTTTCAAGCCGGCTTATAACCCATATACTGAGCCAAGCATGGAGATTTTCAGGTGCGAGTTTATTCTCGTTAAGGTGAAAATGCTGTTTCATGTTTGTAGTTGAAAGCTGATAAACAATTTCCTTTTTGCTCAAATAGTTACCATGAAGGCTTGGGGAAATGGGTAGAGATTGGAAATTCGGGCATGTTTAGACCTGAAATGCTGCTTCCTATGGGACTCCCAGAAGATGTTCGTGTTATTGCATGGGGCCTCTCCCTTGAAAGGTAAGAACAAATTCTTTATCGATACTGTTTTCATCTCTATCTTTTTTAGTGAAGGTTTGCTGAAGAGCACTATTAACTCTACACTGAATTGATTTTTTTCCTTTTGTGGATTTTAATTTGTGCCAGACCGACCATGATTCTCTATGGGATTGATAACATCAGGGATCTTTTCGGACACAAGGTAACACCTTACGTCTTGCTCTTCAATTTGTTCCGTAGTTTTTCGTTCATCTGAATTGGGTTTCACCCGATTCTATTATTTTGTAGGTCGATCTTGGTCTCATCAAGAAGAACTCGATCTGTCGCCTTGGATTATAAGCATTTTCTGTAGCTGTTGCAAGAATTTTGTTGTACTGCAGTTTGCTCATTCAAAATACAAAGATACTGAGAATTTATTGGTTTGCCCCTACTTCTTTTGTGTGAAAGCTTGAAAGGACTTGGCTTGAAAACATTTGCATTCGACCAAAAAGAAAAATGCTAGCTGTTGTGAGGATGCCTAGTTGTCATTTTAGTGGTAAAATCAGAGAACGATATTAGAAAACCGTTATCTATGGATTTTATGGAATCAAATGACGGTGGAAGAGATTTCAAGTTCGAATTCCTAAATAATGAAATGGTAAGAATAATACGACATAGTCCTGAATGGACAAAATGGACTATCCTCGTTCCTCAACTCAAACAACAAAGCACATTCCTACTATTAAAAGTATCAAACACAAAGGAAACAAATCCAAATCACATTATAATCATAGAAAATAAGTCATGAAGTAACGAGGCAAAGTCTATATGCTAATCTAAATCTAAACTATGGATAAGCAGATTGACTTGAGACAAAATGAACTTCCAAAGTACTTATAAGTGGCTTTTGTAGTTTAGTTGGTTAAAAGCATTCACCCATGCACCAGAGGTCAAGTGTGCGAACTCTATTTTCATAATTTAGATGAATTTAATGTAAATTATTCTATCGTTTGTTAAAAGAACTTCCAGCGTACTTGAAAGGAAGGAATAACTTCCAACAATATTATCTACATTAAGGGGATGAGGGAAAGGGCTAAGCCTCACAAATGTGTTAGCAATAATGTGGTTTAAATTTGTCTTTGGCGAGAATCAAACCTAAGACCTCTCACTTATAAGTAAAGAGGAATCGATGACGCTGATAAAGAGATGTTTTTAGATGATTGTAAAGAAACATTTCTGATTATTCTTATTGTACGGTGGGATCGATGGTGCCACGTTAGTGGGAATGATGACTTTCCTCCTTTTCGAGAATGAGGCAAGTATTGTCAATTTTTATTAAGCCCAAAAGTTAAAGTGGTGATTCATATTGGTCGTTGAATTCTTGCCCTTGAAATCTCTTGGTGGCGGTTCTGTTTATGCTACAGAGAGACTCCTGGAAACATCATAGTTCGGCTGAGGGGCACCAAGTTCCACCCCATCTATGCCAATCTTGCTTCACCTTCACCCCATATCACAGTAGTCTAAATGGATTTTGGGATGACTATTGCTATAAGTTTAAACCTATCATGAGTGGATGGAGCATATAGATATGTTTTGAATGTTTTAATCTCAACTTGTGATATTAAATTTCAGAGTGAGTAATATACCATGCACTTTTTACTATCTGATGACCAAAAGAACAAAACTCGAAAAAACCTGAAATGTTTTGCAACACCACTGTCTTTCCCTTTGGGAGAAAAAAAAAGGCTATGTCATAATGTTGACAAATAATTTGAATGTTTTCTTATCTATTGACAAACAATCCTTCAAACTCGATATCTCCTCTTCACAAACATTCTTGTGAGTTGTGTGGGATGTAATTGTTAATAAAATGCAATATCTTTTTCTTGCCCAGTAAAAAGTTTTTTTCATTTCAATTTGCTGAGGAAATTTTAGCTAACGTAGGCATCGATAGATGAAATGTTAGTGAATTCATTTCATTATGAGATCGTTTTAGCACCTATTTATGTTGAACAAATCAATGATTTACATAATAAGTAATATTTACAAGATTAATCGTCAACTTGTTTGATTCATATAAATGACTAAATAGTCTCCAAATTATATAATTTTTTGTAAAGACAAATTTTTAAATAGTAATAAAGAAAATAAAATGTTCAAATTATAAAGTTTGTCCGTGAAATGATGCCATGTCTATTTTTTAATACATCATATTTTTACACTAAGAGGAGGGGGAGTTCGGCTAAGCCACACAATGAGCAATCTAATTTGGTATTGAATTCGTCATCCATGAGGTTCGAACCTAAGACCTCTCACTTCCAAGTAAAAGGAATACCACCAGACCGTAATACTAAGTGGCAAATGATGCCATGTCTTCGAACAAAAAGCCAAATATTATTAAAAAAAAAAAAAGAAGAAAAAAGTGTGTTTAATTAAATGGATTGACCTAGGGGTGGAAAAAAATACCGAAAATTCCAAACCGAACCGAAAAAATCCCAAATCAAAAATCCCGAAAATTTCAGTATCCAATACCGAACCAATCCCGAAATTTCAGTACAGGAATCGGTCTCACACTTTAATTTGTTCAGTAATCCCTAACCAAATCGAAAAAAAATATATATATATATATATATTCTTTAATTTTAAATATATATTTAGAATTGTAACAGCCATCCAATTTAGTTGAGATTTAATCTCAACCGTTGAATACAAATCAAAGTTCAAACCCTCAGAGAACTCAACTCAGTCACACTCTCTCTCTCTGTCTCTTCTCGACCCGACAACCTCACCTCAACCTCACCTAGGCCTAGCAAACGGGTCGTGTCTATCATGTTTGTGTCGTTTTCGTGTAACACCTGTTATCTTAACGGGTCGTATCGTGTTACACCTGTTATCTTAACGGATTCTTAACAGGTCGGGTCACTTTACCTAACGACCCATTATGACCCGTTAAGAAACATATATATTTTTTCTTAAATTTACACATACCACGCATTGCCACATAAAAATTACTTCAAAACATTAAAACACATTTGTCGTTTAAGTACTACATCTACACTTGAAAATAAGAGCCTAATAAACAAACATCCATACACTACTAGTTTATTACAAAATATTAAATGTGCAAGGATATGCAAAATGAAACAGTTTTTGCTTTCAAGGTTGTGAAGCCTTTCTCAAAAGTTTAAACCTTGCCAATGGAACTCAAAGCTTGCATGTTACTCCTTTTACAAAATCCTCAATTTTCATCGATCATTATGACATAAGATTTTGTGGTATCCACTAGTGTAAATATTTTAAATTGAAGATCGAATTCATTCATTGTATTCATATAGGGTCAAGGAGTGTAGCTGTAAAAAAATCATCAAAATCAGAGTTAAAATAACCGTTAAATCATGATTTTTCGTTGATAACCATTGAAAAGTTTTGTCCCGTTACTTGATCTCTGAATATTTGTTTTTTGCGATTTTAGCGTATGTGATCTCGAAGCATATACAAACAAGTTTGACGTTTGGATCGTTGAAATTAGTTTCATAGAATGCGTATCCCATCAAAACGATAGATTCACTAATACTTAGAGTTTATTTATACTTTCATTAAGTATAACATAAAATTTTGTGGTATCCACTAGTGTAAATATTTTAAATTGAAGATCGAGTTCATTCATTGTATTCCTATAGGATCAAATAGTGTAGCTATAAAAAATCATCAAAATCGGAGTTAAAATAACCGTTAATTCGTGATTTTTTGTTGATAACCGTCGAAAAGTTTTGTCCCGTTATTTGATCTCTGAATGTTTGTTTGTTGTGATTTTTGGCGTATGCTATTTGGAAACATATACAAACAAGTTTGACGGTTGGATTGTTGAAATTAGTTTCGTAGAATGCGTATCTCATCAAAACAATAGATTCACTAACACTTAGAATTTATTTATACTTTCATTAAATATAACATAAGATTTTATGGTATCCACTAGTGTAAATATTTTAAATTGAAGACTGAATTCATTCATTGTATTCATATAGGGTCAAGGAGTGTAGCTGTAAAAAATCATCAAAATCGGAGTTAAAATAACCGTTAAATCATGAATTTTTGTTGATAACCGTCGAAAAGTTTTATCTCGTTATTTGATCTCTAAATGTTTATTTTTTTCAATTTTTGGCGTATGCAATCTCGAAATATATACAAACATGTTTGACAGTTAGATTGTTGAAACTAGTTTCGTAGAATGCGTATCCCATCAAAACAATAGATTCGCTAACACTTAAGAGTTTATTCACATTTTCATTAAGTATAACATAAGATTTTGTGGTATCCACTAGTGTAAATATTTTAAATTGAAGATCAAGTTCATTCATTGTATTCATATAGGGTCAAAGAGTGTAGCTGTAAAAAATCATCAAAATCGCAGTTAAAATAACCGTTAATTCGTGATTTTTTGTTGATAACAGTCAAAAAGTTTTGTCCCGTTACTTGATCTCTGAATATTTTTTTTTTGCGAGTTTTTGCTGATACGATCTCGAAGTATATACAAACAAGTTTGACGGTTGGATCGTTGAAATTAGTTTCGTATAATTCGTATCCCATCAAGTTCAATGGTGTGTGTGTATATATATATTTATTAAGTAAATTTAAATTTATTTATCTTGTATGTATAACACTTAAGAAATTGAATGGTATGTATATTTAAGCCGATCCAATGGTCACCAATTTTTAATACTTAATTAAATATATGTATATATATATATATAATTATTATAGTTTTTAGGGGTATAAAATTGTTAAATTAATATATATAATTATTATAGTATTTTTTTAGGGTTATAAAATTATAAAATTAATATTTTTCTTATCGTGTATCGTGTTACCAACGTGTATACCCGAACCAACCCGTTATCTTAACAGATGCTTATCGAGTTACCCGATGACGATTCGATTCGTTATCGTGTCGACCCAAACATCTGTTAATTTCTTGTCGTGTCGTGTCAGGTTATCGAATCGTGTCAGGAATTGTCAGGCCTAACCTCACCACCCTCCTTGACCTCACCTCAGAATCCGGCCACACCTACATTACACATGTGACTCACCTCTCTGATCTCTCTCTCAACTTCTCATCCCTCAGACCCTCACCGGAGGAGCCTTCCTTCACGGCACAGAGGTAGAGCCACGACCGTCGGCGCCGCTCACCTCTCTGATCTCTCTCTCTCTCTTGACTTCTTCATCTAGATTCCAGTGCATTGTGCATCGATTCTTCCCCAAATCAGGTAAATTTTGGAATTAATTTAGGGTTTGAAATATAGGTTTGTGAAATCTAGATTAGGGTTTGTGAAATTTAGCACTTGGAATTGATATGGAGGTAGAAGATATGTAATGGCTGAATGATAGTATTAGAAATTTTAGTGTTTCTACCCTCTGAGCATGTTCTTCTCACCAACGTTTTTATTGCTGGTTTCGTTAATTGATTTATTTAGTTTTTTTTTTTTCTCATTTTTGAAAGAAATGAAATTGAAAATGGTTATTTGTGTTTTGGGGTTGACATTGGCCATGAAAATTGGAATTTAGCTCAGAAATGTGGTTTTATTTTTGGGAAATTGAGTGCTTGTTTGTGATTTCGACATTTTTGCTTAGTTTGGTTGATGAGAAATCAAAAAGTAATCGAATTGGAATTAGAAATTTTGGTGATTAATCTGGCCTGTGTAGTTTTGTTTTGTGATGGTAACTTAATAAGTTGTTCATTTGTAGTACTGGAAATTAGGGGAAAAGTGAGTGAGGTTCATAAATTCTTTAGCAGTCATGTTTTTTGTTTACTGCGTCATGAAACGAAAGATGGGTACTTTATTTTATCAGTTCCAAAGAAACTATGATTGCCCAAGAATGCTGGTTGTTAATGCATATCATATGAGGTGGTTAAAGAAGAAAAAAGAGGGTGGCAGGGGCCGGCTGGAGGTTGCGGTTAATGGACACAATTGAATCCAAGTTCAAGTGGAACATATAATAAGAAAATCTGTTTTCTTCACTTCGAAGCATTTCAAACTCTCGTTCAATGGCCAAAGTTGGAATCTTTGTTTGTGTTAACTGTGAACCATGGTTTTTACTAGCCATTGTGTACTTGCATGCTTCAGTTAATGCTGATTTTTTAGTTCTTCCATCTCAGAGTTTTATCATTCTGATGTTCAAATTGACATCTTTCTGTTGCCTTTATATGAAGTTCTTGTTTGAGCGACATTTTGAGATTAGGCCTAATGGGAAACCTTCTGACATGTACTCTCATTTTGAGATTAGCCCAAAAGCCCAAAACTATTTCGAATTCCCAATTTGTCTTGAAATCCTGAAACTATTTCGAGATTTTCGAAAATTTGGATTGAAATCGGTCTTGAAATTGGAATTCCCAAAAACTTCGGTTTGAGAATCGGGATATGGTTTTCGGTTCGGTATCCCATACCGAACAAGCCCTAGATTGACCAGACACAGACCCGCCTGTTAGCCCATTACCCAACTAACCCAACCCTAAACCCTAAACCATTTCTTCTTCCGTCTCCCCTCGTGCATCGTTCGTGGCATCCCAAGCCCACCCAGAGGTAGCTTTAGCTCCACAGTCCAGAAAATTCAGGTTTGGCTTCTCACTCAATAATATTAATAAATAATAAAGCCTTAACCTTCTTCTGATATTTTTCAATTTTGATATGTTTTGGTTTCTGGGTATTGCCCTCTTATTTATTTAACTATTTCTTGTTTAGAATTCATGATCGCTGACTGGTGTTTATGTGGTAATTAGATTATCTGAATCTCCATTTCTTGACTGTTTGTAACTGGGTTTCTGTTGTGGAAGTTTCAATTTCACTCTTGAAATAATTCCCCAATTTTTGTTGGAATTTAAGGCGATTTGAAGCCTTTTCGTAGAAGAAATGGCACAAAACCGAAGCGCAATGATGTTCTAAGATTCATATAGCTGACCCCACTCAGTGGGATAAGGCTTTGTTATTATTGTTGTGTTATTTTTTAAGCGTATGCAAACCCAAATTTGGAAAAATTACACTTCAATATGCAACTTATGTATAAATAGATAATAAGGTGAGGGTTCTCATTGATGTCGGTGAACTGAAATGATTTGGTTTCAAAGCCCAAGTATTCTGTGGTGATTTTCTTTCAGGGTTTTACCCATCTTTCCGGAAAAGAAGACAATGAATTTAGCAACATCGATATGCAGTAGGTTGTGTCTGAAGAACATTGTTACGAATTCTCCCGTATACAGCAGTGCTTCTGTATGAGTTCAATATCACAGGTCTGATTTGGTACTGAGGTGATTTTGAAAAAAACTGGTATAAAAAAAGCTGGGAGCTGTTTTTATGTTTGGTAAACATTCAGCTTCAGTTTTTTTTCACAGTTTTGGATGAAAAAAAGCCAAAAATAAGAAGCTGCAAAACCCAGCTTTGAAAAACTGGCTTTTTTTCACATCTGTTTTACATAAAAGTTTACCAAACATTATAATACTGTTTTTTTTTTTTTTCAAAAGTACTTTTACAAAAAAGTTTACCAAACACTCTGCTGCTTTATTTCACAGCTGCTAATTCTCACAGCATAGCAGAAACAACTTTTTTTCAAAGTACAGCAATACCAAACCAGCCCTGAGTTGTGCTAGAATGTAGCATAATTATGTTGTGTTTCTGCTTCGAAGTTCTGATGTTTTGCTTGACGAGCTAATTTTAGATGTCACGATGGAAGGATTGAGTTTGACCTTTAGGCGCTGGGCTACTAAAAAATCTGCTGGATCCACCAAAAATGGTCGAGATTCAAATCCCAAATTTCTTGGAGTGAAGAAATTTGGCGGAGAGGTGAGAGGCTGTTGTGTACAAAAAAACATAATGGACGGTTTGTTATTGCTTGTCTAATTCTTCCGTTGGAATCACTGTAACGTTGTTATTCTGTTTATGTTGCAGAGAGTGATACCTGGAAACATCATTGTTCGACAAAGAGGCACCCGTTTTCATCCTGGAAATTATGTTGGTTTAGGGAAGGATCACACTCTTTTTGCTCTGAAAGAAGGCTCTGTTAAGTTTGAACACCACAAGCTCAGCGGACGCAAGTGGGTGCATATCGTGCCCAAGGAAGGTCACGTCCTTCACCCCGTCGATGCAAATGGTGCGACTGCGCCATCGACAGCGTAGTTGAAGACGGTTTCATATCCTTATAAGCTTGTTTTTTGATCATTTTAGGTTCAAACCTTTCCCCAGGTTGGTTAGAATAAGAAAAGCGATGTTATGCCAAAACCCGATAGGTTTCTGTTATTTAGAAGCTCGTGATCTTAGATGAAGGAATGCACATCTCAGTTTTACATTAATTTGAACTCTCTTGTTTCAGCTTACCTTCTCCTTCATTTCTTCCTTCCTCCACCCTTTATCCACCCCCCCTGGTTCCTCTTTCCTCCATATACATTCCCTGTGTCTTTGAAGAAAAATGAGAAGCAAAACTAAAATGAAATACTTATAAAATATCACACTTGAATATATATTTGTTGCATAGCATTCTAGTGATTCAGGGATCAAGATGATGAATGTAGATGGTTCATCAACCCCAGCAGCTAAAGGAACCAACCAAACAAGTGCCGTGCCCGCCAGCTCCCAAAAAATCCCAACCTCGTAAAAATGGAGTTGGGTCTAGGAATGTCCCAAAGTGTGATTTGACTTAAGATCTCAATGAGGGAGCAAAGTGAATTAACAAGTAACATAAAGCTACCAAGTAAATGATGTACTCGAATTCAGATTACATAAAGTTTACAAGTTTAATCAATTTGTCATGTTTACTTTTATGATCGAACTTTTATTTTAATATGGATCGTTATAAAAAAGAGTTTATTATTGTGACTAGTATATGCCCACACACAAAGTGTGAAATTTTTTACTTTTGTTTTTAAAACTGAAGGAGAGAGGAATAGAGAGAGAATGCAAGGGTGAGGAGAAGGGGAGGCAGATTTGTTTTTCATTTTTAATTTTTCAAATTAGAAATGATAAAATCATTTGTAAGTCATGCTTAAACAAAAAACAGAAAAATTTTGTTTTGTGAAATTACGTTATTGTCCTTAACATTTTTGTTGTGATAGAAGACAAAAATATCTTTCTATTCTCTTTTGGTTGACAAAGGGTTTCATTTATATGTAGTTTAGATTAATAAAGATTTTTGTAGTTTTGTGTGAAATATAATAATGGGTGGTTCTCTCGTGAATCGCCTTCAGCAAGGTATGACATTCAGGGTTTGAACTCGGGAAAAAATCTTTCTTCATAGACTCAAGACATTCATTGCTGATCTAGAAAAGATCTTATCATTGAGTTTCATATATTTGAAAACGAACTAGGGTTGTGGTCAGTGGCGGAGCCTCTTTTGTTTTAACATATAAAAATCATACCCTCTTTTTTGGCCCGTCGATATAAATCAAAGGCCTATACAGCCTAGAGCAAGATCTAATTTTAAGTCACGATCTTAAATTTTTGTTGGAATAATCAAATCTAATGTGTTAATTTTTTTTTTTTGGGTGAATTACATTTTATCCTCTCAAGTTTTGGTGTAATTACAACCTCATACAATATCTTGAAAACATTTCAATTTCATACATTTAGTATTATTTTTTTTTTCAATTTCATACAACCGTTAAAAAAATCTATTAAGTTAACTGTTAAGGAATGGCGTTACAAATATGAGGTCCCCATTTGTGTTGATATGGCTGCCACATTTGTGTCACGTGGCTAAATACTTAATAAAAATTTTAAAAAAAATTAATTAAAGAAACGTTAAAAAAAAAAAAAAAAAAAAAAACCATAAATCCCCTTCGTCTTCACCACCCGAGCCCACCCCCTTCTTCCATGCCCCATCACCCACCCCTTCTCCCATTAATTCTACACCTCCATCTAACCCAAAATTTCAAAAAACAAGGATCTTATTACCTAGTTTCATATATTTGAATACGAAGTAGAGTTGTGGTCAATGACAAAGCCACATAGAGGTTAAAGGTGGCCCAGGCCTAGCCTGAAATTTCAGCCACTTATACGTGCTGTTTGCGAGCTTCTAGAAAACTGATCGTGTGGCTCATTGACTAGTGGGGTTTTCGCAACTCCAACTGGTTAACGGCCATGGTTCGAAACTTGCAAGTGTTTCAGCATTAGAAGATTTTCGTTAAACTGAAAGAAACAAAACCCTCATAATTTGCCCTTATTTTTTTTAACCTATTAAAACTAAGCCCTCCTCCTTTTATTATAATTAGCCTTATGTTTTAACATATAAAAACCACTCTCTTTTTTGGCCCGTCGATATAAATCAAAGGCCTATACAGCCTAGAGTAAAATCTAATGTGTTAATTTTATTTTATTTTTTTATTTTTTATCAAAACTGGTAACAAATTTTGTTCTTATGAGATAATCAATTTAATACTAAGATTTTCATACAAAATTTAAAGCTCCACCATTCTTGTTTGATTAAAACTTTTCATGCAAATACAAAAAAACAAAATCCTTAATTTTTTTTTTCCTCAATTATATTTTAAAGACTAATTTCTTTCTATGGCTTAAAGGCCCCCCTAATCTAGTTTTCTGGCTCCGCCACTGGTTGTGGTTAGTTTTGCATGAATGGAATACGACAATCACCATTCCTCAGTAGCAGTAATAATTGTTGATCACTCTACTTTCGATCCCAAATTATTCATGCTCAACTAGCTAGATATTCATAATTCATTTATCCAGAGATGTTTGTACGAGTATTTTTCCACATTTCCTAGTTCATTCGTATGCTAAAAAGTTGCAGATTGCGCACGTAGATAACAGTACTGCCAGACTAGAGAGTTGTTTGATTCTTCACCTTTAACGGGAAATTTGGAAAAATAACCAAAATTTGGACTCCATAACCACCATTTTAAATTTATAATAATTATAACAAAAAGTTGACGGAAAAGGTTGTGGATATATAAAGAAAAATGGCAGAAGCCTGTCAGACAACTGTGTGACCACCCTAGCCATGGGGAAAAATGAGAAGATTGCTACTATCCTCTATTGAACTTTTAACGGGATAACGTAAGGGAATTTTATTTGATATTATTTATTTCAAAATCCTGTTAATTTGTAAACTCCAACAAACTAATCAAGTTTGTAATTATTTCCTCAACCACAGCCACCAGGTCCTCCAAAACCAAATCTATAGCTCCAAAAGTTGTCCCTAGTATCTTTATCATTTTGCAAGCCATAACAGCTTATACTCCCACACAGGATCGTCATCTCTTGGTGCTCTTGGTTCCATCCAACCCTTCATGAAATGCAGGTTTCGGAAGTACCCAACATGTGCGTACGTGCCATCTGGGTATTGGCCACTCCCCATCGGGGGCCCATCTTCGTTCTCTGGAGCCATGGCATTTCCTCCCCACCCCACATCTCCAGCCCCATTTTCCAAACTAGGAACTAGTTCCCTTGGCCAATACCCTACGCTAATGTTTTTGTCTGTCATCACAAGCCACCAATTTTTTGTTATGTAATCCCGCAAGTTGACACAAGAACAAGCATTAACATAACTCTATACATATTTGAATGACTTCACGGTGATCGCGATGAGATATTCGAACTTGAAACTTCTGATAATATTGAGAAAAGAACTATCACTGCATCAGTCATTAGTCGGTAATTATTTCAAAGCTAGGAGAAACAATTTAACGCATAAAATTCTTTGGGATTGTTGGTTTACCTGGTAAATATCGAATTTGGCATCATATGTTGCTCCACCAAAAGATGACACTGGCTCAAAACGAGTTTTAGGACCTACGTTTCGGTCGATTTGTACGAATCTATCCCTGGCAGAGCGAATCAAAGCATCCCGTCTTATCCGCATCCAACTATACATTATTCATATGCACAAGTTTGAGTTAGTACTACAATTATGAGAGAATGTTCTATTTCTAGACAAGAGAGTGATATGCTATATATGTTTACCACGTTATCAATTCATCTGAACCACATATACATAGAGTGGATTGGTATAATTTGATTGTAATCAGATTAACGTTGTCATAAAACATCTAAATTCTAACATATAATGACACGGCTAAACACGGCACCAAACATAAAAAATAATAATACAAGTTTAAAAGCTCACAACTTACAGTCCAGTATATAAACACTCGAGGGCTGTCATCACCATTGATTGATGTTGAAACCTGTGAAAATATGATGTTAATATGAGCTCGTTGTGATTAGCGAGCTCTGGGAAAGAAAATAGTTGGAAATTAAGAGATTGAGGATGGGTGTAGGTTGAAGCATTACCAAGGAACCAGCAATAAGTCTGGTAACGTAGTCAGGCGGGCCACTATCGACCCAAACATTGACAGAACTAGATTGGTCTTGTGCCATGTTCGGTTTGAATATCGCCCCACTCCCGAAAACTCCAATTTATCTAATTACTAGCCGACTTCCGTTCATTCTAATGAATACTTGCTGCATCTCACAAGCATTAATGGATTAAAGGTTAGAGAAAAAATAGACATGATCAATAGTTCAAATTTACAGTCCGACAACACAAAACGTCACTACAAGAAAATTGAGCATTAGCCACTAGGTTGGATAGCCGTATCAGTAACTAAAACCCCCATATTATAGCCATTCATATGCCTTTTACCTACCCAGTTGTAGAGCCGTTGGTAAGCGTTTTACCTAATCTAGTGCAACAAATGTCATTAGCTTTTGTCTTCTGTTTTTGAGTCCATTGTCAGTGACTATAGCCCGTCTTTCTAGTAGCGTGTAAGATCAACGTACTTACATGAACATTTGGGGCAATAGGATTAATTTTGCTGATATTGGCAAACATTTGATGCGAAAGAGTTTTTGCCCTTGTTAACTCTTCCTTTGTGGTTCGGTGAATCGGAACTGTTCCCTCAGGGCAGTCGGCCTCCTTAAACCCCGCTTGTAAATATGGTTCATTCACAGCAGCAGATTTTTTCGCCTAAATTGCTGGAATTGAAGTTGGTCTTAGCTGCACAAATGTATCAAATATTAAGTTTTTACAGAAACAACGGTATTGTACTTAAACCGAAATATGTCTTATAAACTCATTTTCGTTCTTAAAGTTAATTAGTTTTCAACCAGGTTGAAATATGAAAATAATTAGAGGGTACTAATTAAATACTAATTATTTAATTAATTAGCGTACGTACCTGGATTTTGTGATTCTTCGGTAAAGGGTTATCGAGAGTAGGCTGGCGATTGATGTCTATGCAATCGATGATATCACCATCAACCTTAATTTGACACAACAAGAGAAAAATAAAAGAAATAAAAAAAAAATCACTATTTTTGACAAAAAAGAGGAGAAAATAAAATCGATCAAAAAACATGAAAATAAAGAAGCCTTAACAAAATCAAACTAGCAAGCTAGAGAACTGTAGATATAAAACTTTTTTCCTACACACCGTAAGTTGAAAATTGCTTTGAAAAGTGTTTGTTTAGATTAATTATACAAATCAAATACATGATTTAAGTCTGTCATACAACAAATGACATACATACCTGAATGGTTTTGACAGGAGGTTTGTTAAGACTCTGAAGTTGTCCTTCTAAGTCCAAGTCTTTTTCATCACCTGGATTATTAGGCATCGCCATGACTTTACCACAACCGTAAATTCTTAGACAAAAACATAGCAAGAACAAGAGCGTTATCCTTCTTTAAGTCATCATGTTAATCCAGCAGTACTCTCACAACAGATAACTGTACAGTCTATATACACAAGTGAAGCTTGCCTGACAGTGACGGTTACAAGAGACTAGCTAGTGTAACTTCATGCTCTACATTCATCCTCATCAGAAAGGTCAAGCTGGCTTTTATTACATTATGCCAAAGGTAATGAATGCGGATAAGGAAAGGAACAACCTTATTAATTTTTCTTCCTAGTTTTCAACTGGCAATTCCTTTGTTACCAATATTTTTCTTTCTGGGATTATGAACTAGCTAGGTTATATTACAGCTTTTAGTTTAAATACGAAGGGCTAGTTTGAGATTGCTATTAAAATAAAAGTTGTTCAACATTGGATGAACAATGTTGGGAGGATGAAAAGCAGTGTAAAAGCATAAATTTTAGTGTGCAAGTGTTAAGGTTGTGTATAATGATAAAAATAAACATAGTATTGGGAGTGTTTGGCACAATTGCATGAATTCATTTTGGCAGGATCTGAGTTAATGATATTGGTTTTTGGGGTGAACGCACTGAACATGGTTCGTGATGTAAAGACCATACAGAAGCTAATACTGAAGATGTGTATGGTACACCGCTTGACAAATTGGCTGGTCTCTTTCCCAGACCGCTGCATGCTTCTTTCTCGGTTTGAGAGGCTTGAGGACAAACCTCATGTTAAGGGGTAGGATTGATGCAACTCTAGGCTATTGGGCTTCTGTTAGATCAATTGGACTAACTATTGATGTTGTTATCTATTAGGTCCATCATATAATATCATTAGGTCCATTTAAATCTCAAACCCTAGCTATCGTTGAGTGTATTTCAACCTTTTTTATGATGTAAAGAGACTATGAATGATATGATATGAATTTACTATAATTTCTTTTGCATTTTTCCTTTCCCGTTCCGTTACATCGGTGTCTTATTCTATCAGGAGGATTACAGTCTTCTAGTAATCAATGGCGAGCCCTAGGCCATTGTTCTCTAGATGAACTTGAACATCGTTCTTCCAAGAAAGATATTTCTTTCCAAGATATCAAGGGCAACAAACTCAAACTTTGCTAGATTGGACATTTTCTACAAAGAAAGCACGCTTTGATCACATGACCAAGATAATTTTTGGGCATTTTCTAGGAAGACAACTCACACCGAAAGAACAAATCGAACATAAGTCACGCACCGGATTAGACATATGCCCTTTTGAAAATAACTACTTCATGCCCGCATGCAATTAACAATGTTGCGACAAGCATAAGAAATTGATGCAGGAGCTGCGTGGTGGGAAATAAAAAGGATAGAATAGATATAAACTAAAACAAATAGATAAGATAGATAAGTGAGGTTCACTATTTCCAAGTGTTAGGAGAGACCTGCAAACTCTAAACGTTGCTTCTAGTACTAGTCTACGCCATAAACAACTAGGAAAAAAGAGAGCAACAAACTTTAGTTAAACAAGAGAAGATCACTTAGAAAATGAGTTTACAACTTAAATTTCAATACTATAATTCAAGCACTCCCACTAGTACAAAAACACTTTGGGTCATTCGTTGTGCAAAGTCAAAAAACGTCACGCAAAAATTTACATGACGAACCTTCGTCGCGCGACAAGCGTCGCGCCAAGCCTGTGAAAGCAGGGTTTGCGCAACGAAGAAGTTCCATGCGTCACGCAAAGTGGGTTTGCGTGACGTAGGTGTGCGTCACGCAAAGTGTCTTTGCGTGACGTAGTGATGTGCGTCACGCAAAGTGTCTTTGCATGACGTAGTTATGCGTCACACAAAGACACGCAAAGTTTTTATTTTTTTATTTTTTTGTTTTTTTTTTAATTTTTTTGACAAAAATATTTTTGATTTAATTTTTAATAAATATTGTAATTCAATTCTAAACAATAAATAATAAACCAAGAAAAAAATTAATTATAAACCATATGAAAATGTACATACAAGATGTCCGAACAAAACTCTACCATTACCAAAAAAGGGCATAGCAAGTAAGCAAAGGTACATATACAAAAATCCCATATGCAATATGAAGAAAATACCTTCAAATTCATTCTTCAATGATAATTGTATACAAAAATCCTGTACAAAACAAATTTAGTAGTTTTAGTTTGAATTCTCAATTCAAAGTTACTTATACAAAATCAAATCGCTTATCGGATACAAATAGATTAAGGAACGGAGAGAATTGGAGAACGTTTTGAAGAGAGATAGGGGAGGGAGGTAGCAGCTGCAACTAGTTTGCAGTTTCTACCACCTAAACTGATTAAGTGAAGTAAAAAAAAGTCGTTGACTTTGCGTGACGCATGTGGCGTCGCGCAAAACATCTTTGCACGACTCATGTAGCCCTGCATTGCGCAAAGTCAACAAAAAAAGTGGTAAAACATTCTTGGTTTAGCATCAAAATCTTGTGGGACGCACAAAACGTCACACAAACGGCCTTTGCGTGACTGCACTTTGCGCGACGAAGACTGGCGTCGTGCAAAGGTTGTTTGCGCGACGTTTTGTGTTTAGTGTCGCGCAAACATACTTTGCGCGATGAATTTAGCTGCGTCGCGCAAACATGTTTTTGTACTAGTGTCCTCTCATTTTCTACCATACAAATACATGCATTTATACATGATCTAACCCCTCCTCATTTAAGACTAATAAATGTAACAGATTAGGGAATTGTTATTAGCACTCCACAAATCTCATTCTACACTCCTCACAAAGTGTATTTTTCTTTCTAATTATAGAAAGTTTGGAGTGCCAAATGAGTTTTTGGAGTGCTAATAACAATTCCCACAGATTAATATGAGATAATATAAATTACCAAGATAATTCCTTATTTTATCCAGCCCTCGTACTCCTCAAGAAAATTGATCTTATTTGGCATTTGTATAATACAAGCATAGCAGAAGATCTTATTTTCTTCCATAAAATGAAGTTTGTACATTCTAATTCCCACAAAGAGGAATCTATAACGCCAACCCTCGAGCCATGCATGTATCTTTATCATTTTGTAAGGCATAACAACCAGTTCCATCTACATTTTCAGTAACAGCATCAGAAGCTGAGGGAACTATTTGTTTAAGACTCTTCAGCATGTAGCAAACTTCTCTGAAATAGGCAGCATGATCACAGAGCTCAAACCACCTTACCCTTACCATAGAAATAGTGATACAACGAGCAAGATGAATGGGGATGATTCGACAACCCCACCGACTAAATTAACCGAAGAAGTGTCGTGCCTGCTGGCTACGAAGAAATACCAACCTCGTAAAAGTGGAGCTGGTTCTGAGGATGTGCCAAAGCATGATTTGCATATCTTTCATTTCCTCAATTTGTATTATGACATATAAAGTATCGCTTAAATAACGGACACTTAAAAAATCTCTCGTAAGTGAGAAGGTTACTAGCATTTCTTGTTACCTTAATAATGCAACTTTTTTTATTATAAGTTTGCTAGGAGTTTATTATAAAGACTGTACTTGTTTTAGGTGATATATATGTAATGATTTTTATAATCTAGATATGTGTGTGTGTGTATAAAGTAGAGTCGAAATTAGTTTTGCATGAATGGTTTATGTTAAGAGGGTTATTATAATCACCTCTTACAACTCACAACCACATTATTGAATTGATGGCAATTTGGCAAAGCTATCTTTCATTGATGCTTACAGGGTTTATTAGTTCTTTTAATTCT